ATAAATTAAGGAAAAGGAATGCTACGAAAAAAAGGTACCCAAAACATGAAAGAACAATAAAGAGAGGCTTTAAGGGATAATGGCAGTGCAGAAGCCAAAGAGCATGCAAGCAAGAAGAGGAATTGGAAGACAGGAGGGTCTAGGATAGAAGGAGGCTTATTGATTCTAATATTATGCTTGAGCTGGAAGAAGACAGGAGTGCAATGAAATACACAATGGAAGAAAAAAAAAAGGCAATTATAGAAACTCCAGAAAAAAGAAAAGTTCTATTAAAAAAATAAATATAATCATTGCATACTACATGGCCCTACATATTGACATAGCCGTAAGAAACAACATAAAAAAAATATAGGAATATTATCTCAATTTACAAAGACAATCAATAAAGGATTAAAAAATTTATGATACAACTATACTGGAATATAGGAAAGGGGAGAGATGGGAATGAGAAGTATATGAACTACATTTATCTCATAACACAAAGGCAATTAGTAATGTCTATTACTAGTAACTCCATAAGTAACAGTATAAGCACACTATATATGAAGCAATCAAAAGAATAACTAAAATCAGAAATAGTTGAAGAGTTAAAAAAACTATTCCCTCTGATAATAGGGTCTATGTAGGAAACGACCAGGGACAGTCGTTTTTCGTTAAAAATTCTTTACTCTTTTAACTATGTGCTTGACTATTTTTGATAATAATGGAAAATGTATTTAAAAGAAAGGAATGAAAAGAACAGTCAGAATACTGTAATATGTGTTCACAACTATCATCAGACACTTACCTCCACCTTGATGGCACACCGTCCAATGGCTCGTACTGCTTTGCGAACAAAGTCAACATCTACCTCTGTGGCATATTCCTTCAGTTCTGCCAAAACCTATTAAAAATTCAGGAAGTAGATAATCAGTAAGGATTCTCAAACAGGAATTTCATGGCTTAGCTTCTTCCAAAGGTCAGACCTAAAGATCTACGTCATTATAAACTTGAATCTGCTGAAGTCTAACCTGAGCAATGTTGGCTTGGGATGCCAAACGAATCATGATGTCCAACTTCTCTAGTTTAACGTAGATGGGATCATTGTACTTCACAAAAAACACTTTGATTTCCTGCTTCAAGATTTCAGGCCTGTGGTACACAGAAACACAAGATAAGGAAGGTAAAGGCATATCTTAATAGATTCTTCTGAGTCTGTATCACTAAGCTATGCCTCTCTGCCACCTCCTCTTCCCCAGAAAAAGAGTCACAAACACCTTCTATATCCCTTTATTCTTGTTCATTTCATTTGACTATTTTTCATCCTTTTTAAGGGTCAGAGTACATATTGCCAAGAATAACTGCTGGAGTAACAACAATCTCACTCTAAACTACAGACTGAACCATATTAAATAGGCACTATGTAGTACACCAAGGAGCTCTGGTAGCATAGCGCCTAAGGCACTTGACTGCTCACCAGAAGGCTGGCGGTTCAAACCCACCAGCCACTCCTCAGAAGGAAGGTTGGGCAATCCTACTTCCGTAGTGATACTGCCTCGGAAACCCAAGGAGGGGTCGTTATGAGTCGGGGCCGGCTCGACGGCAAACAACAACAACAACAACATGTAGTACACCAAGGAGCCCTGGTAGTGTAGTAGTTAAGCACTCCGCTGCCAGTATACCACAAAGAAACTCTTCAGAAAATAAAATGAATTGCAGAGTAACACCAGGTATTTATTATAGGAACATTCAATATCAATTGCTAACCTCCTGATCCTTGGCAAGTTGTCCTGCCATACATGATTTTCATTTCCATACATTAAATTAAAAAGAGCATAACACTGGCCTATTTAGAATATTATTAAATTAAACTCAAAATTACAAATACTTTAATCGCCAATTAATTATTTCCCAACCTTTTTTGGACAATTAGGTTGATGTTCCTCAAGGCAACATACTGCACCTCTGGCTCCCCGGACAGCAAAGTGACAAGTGGAGGGGCTAGCTTCTTCAGCAGCATACTGTAGTAGTCAGAGTCCTTGGGTAACAACTCTAGAAATTTCATTAGGACTTTTACCGCTGAGAGCACCACTGCTGAGTTGGCATGGGATAGCCGGGGAGTTACCCGCTCACAGATGCTGGGAGAAGAAAAGAAAAATCAGTATCTTGAATTACGATTTCTTTACTCAATCCATTCTATATGGTGATGCATCGAAATCCCAGGGCCCAAATATCAAGAAATTAGAGAATCAGTTAGAAAAATCAAAGCTCCATGCTTGGGTAAAACTGGGATCCAACATTTCAGAAGCTTCATTCTCAGCAAACTACAGGCAGAGCAGGGACATCAGGAAATCAGGAGTAAGGGATGTTTACAATGAAGGAAACTAGCAATACCCCAAACACTTGAAACTCACACCATTTACCTTCCTGTTTTATAGTCCTCTCTGTCTCCCCACATTATGTAAGGGCTCCCTGCCTCACAGCCCCTTTCTCCTCAACCTAGAGGAAGTCAAATTAAGCAATCTGTGGGTTATTTCATAGTGAGAAAGAGTAGCCAACTTGTGGCTGAAGGTTTCTCCATGAGATGTAAGTGGAGGTGGGTTGGCAGAGAAAACTATCCAACCCCTCAACTCAGGAATATGAAGAAAATTTTGAAAGGTTTCTTTATTTAAAATAAACAAACACCATTGCAATATTCTCCCAAAATTCCCCTTCTCCTACCCATGCCACCTGCATTTAAATGACTCAAGAAATCCTATATATTTAATTATGTGTTGAGGGTTTTTCCAGAAATTAACCTAATTTTAATAGCTCTTGAACAACTAAGGATACATGTAGGCTGTTTCTCTCTCTTTCTTCTGTATCTACATGGTTGACTCTCTGACCTCCTTAGATCTTTATACAAATGCCACCTTCTCAGTGAGGCCTTCCCTGGCCAAACTTTTAAAACTACAACCTCTCATATCCAAATGTCCAGCATTCGTTAGATCCTTTCTCCACCTTATCTTTCCCCTCAGCACTTACCATCATCTGACATGTTACATACTACATAATTAATTTTGTTTACTGTCTCCCACCCTCATTCTGATCCCTCTGAGTAAGTGCTCTATGTCCACTGCTGTACCCCTCAGGGCCTACAACAGTGCCTGGCACACAGCATGAGTTCAACAAATAACTGCTGAATGAATGAGTGTGGTATGTCAGTAGTCAAAAGAAATTAAAACTGTAGGTAATGTTCTTTCCAGAAGATATTTATACTTTCAATGATGGGAAGAAATTATTAGAGTGAGCTAAGTCCAAAGGGAATATTTCCCAGCCAAAGGAAGAGCACTTACATTCTAGTAGCTTGGAATTCAGCTTGAGGCAGGCAAGGAAGGTTCTTATCTACCACAATTAAAATATGTCAACTTTAATGAAGAGCCAACAATTCTTCAGAACTACTTTGCCTAGTACAATGCCTATATAACAACATGCTCAATAAAAAATTAGTGATAATTCCAACTCTGTAAACTGTGTGCATGTGCATATGAAATTTTGTAGTCAATTTCTGATAGTCAAAGAAAATTTGTAACACTAAGGTGACAGAGGGTCAAGCTGCTACCATCAGAATAATGCAGGCGTGCCTTCCAAATCGGCTCGAAATTCAGACAGACACGTTTTCCACATCTAATGGAAAGCGTCATATATTCTGCTGACTCTCATTCCTAGGAGCCAACACACTTTCTCTACTAAGAAATTATAGGTATAGTTAAACTCAATAACTAGTTATCAAGCTACTTACTATGTATCTAATAGAGTAAAAAGTTCTTTACAGAGAGGGACACTCAATGACCTCTGCTTGCCAAATAGCTAGACCTGCTCTGTAGGAGATGTAAGGCAGTGATAATGGGGATTTTAGCAGGTGGTAACTGTACTGTTCAAACAAGAAACGAAAAAACACAGCTCTTAGAAAGTGCTATTGGCATGGTTTACTCCACCATCTAAAATGTCCCTAAATCCACTGAGAAACCACCTTGGAGATAACAATACCTACCTCATAAGCCAATGATCTTCCTCAACATAACAGCCCTTATTCTAATAGCAGACACTAGAACTTATTGAGTGAAGCAAGACTTCTTGATACTATCCAGGAAAAGAGACTGACCTCTGAGCCTCTCGGTCGTCTTTAGGGTTATAATTCGATAGGCAGTCAAGGATGAAAATCTGGCCCCATTCAGTGCACTCATTCAGGGCTGTCAGCAGCTTATTAATGTTCTGTGGGTTCAGATCAAGTAGATTGCTGTTTGGGTGAGACTCGCTGATTTCAGACAACGCTGCGACAGCATTAGCCACCACCTGGGAAAGAAGAAATATGACATTGATTCACCAAGAATGGTATAACTTAGATAAATACTTCATTAATTTTCTCAGGAGGATCACTTCATAGATCTCAACTCATAACCATTTCTGAACATTTTATGTATCATACAGAAAGAGATAAAGTGCTTTCAAAACACACACAAAACTGCCAGTGCCGGCATTATACAGCTTCCTGTATCATAATGTAAGGAGCTCTGTTAGTGTAGTGGCTAAGGCACTTAACTGCTAACCAGAAGGCTGGTGGTTCAAATCTACCAGCTACTCCTCGGAAGGAAGGCTGGGCAATTTACTTCTGTAGTGATACTGCCTCAGAAACCCAAGGAGGAGTCGCTATGAGTTGGGTCCAACTCGATGGCACATAACAACAACAAAATCATAATGTGAAGATGTTCTAGTGGAGTAATGGTTAAGGCATTTGGCTACTAACCAAAAAGTCAGTGGTTCAAACTCACCAGCCACTCAACAGAGGAAAGACGGGTCAGTCTGCTTTTGTAAAGATTTACAGCCTTGGCAACCCAATGGGGTCTCTATGAGTCAGAATCAACTCATGGCAATGGTATATAATAATGCCAGGTGTGATAGAGCTGTGTGTCAACTTGGCTGGACCCCAGTTCTGTATGGTTGTTCCCATGATGGGGTCGGATGACTGTGTTCTGAATGGCCAATCTGTTGAAGGGGAGTTTCCCTATGGGTGTGGCCTGCTTCCAGGATATCCAGGGACATTCTGGGAAGAGGGACATTCTTCTATGGATCGGGATTCTGTTGTGCTGCCTACAACTGTCCGTGAGTGAGCAGTGCACCGTTCGGCCTGGAGATCTTGGATTCGTCATTCATTGGAGTCAAGAGCCGGTGTACTGCCTGCCAACCTTGAGCTCCTCAGCCCCCTGCAGGTAAAAGATTCCAGCCTGACATTTGCTTCAGGGACTCTGGACTTGCTGGCTTCTATACGTTTGAAAGCCATTTTCCTAAGATAAATTTCTCTCTCTATATATATATATAAGCTTTGCTGGTTTTTGTTTCTCTAGAGAATTCAGTCTAACACACCAGGCAACCTGGCATTAAAACAGTTCATGTAATAGCAGAGTCTCACACATGATTTACTATTAAAGCATACATTAGCCATTTTAATAGTACTCACAACCATCAATAAAATCAAGGTATATGAACTTCTATTAAAACAGTGACATCTAAATATGAAATACGTATGTAGAGCAGAGGGAAAAATCTAGGCCAAATTTTATAGGTGTCTGTGTATGATGGGGGAATTAGATCATTAATCAAATCTTAGATTGTGAGAAAATATGGGTTTGAGATATAGTTCACTAGTATACAGTGCTGGAAGAGCACATCGTCTCCGTGAAATTAAGTTTCCTCATCTGAAAATGGGGAATAATTTAATCTACCTCAGAGGCTAGTTTCAGTTTGAAGACAAAATCCAATGACATACGCCTAAGTGATTTCTAAAAAGTCTTATACAAATCTAAGGTGGTAATATTACCATAATTCATCAAATTGTATATTTTTTCACATTAACACCTCTGAAATTGAGATACATTCTATAGTTGATGGCATGTCAGTTTAATAAGGATTTTTCTTTCCTAGTCATACATAAAGGGAGCTCTGGTAGCTGCTAACCAGAAGGCTGGCTGTTCAAACCCATCAGCCACTCCTCGGAAGGAAGATGGGGCAATCTACTTCCATAGTGATACTGCCTCGGAAACCCAAGGAGGGGTTGCTATGAGTTGGGTCTGACTTAATGGCACATAACAACAACAACAGTGACACATAAAATAATAATGCATCTCATAGTCAGCAGTGTACTGGATAAAATGGAATATGGTATCTCAAATGTATCCTTCTTTCACATGCTGTGATAAATGAAAAACTGCTACCTAAGATAAAAATGTAGACTTATAACCTGACTAACAGAACTAGGAAACCAGCTGCAAGATGAAAATTCAACAACTCTCTGTATAAAAATTACAGATTATTTCTAAAATAACTACCAAATGCACAAATAATGAATGTGTAAATGAATTACAAAAGACTATAAACATACACACACACACACAAATCTTTACTATGGTCCTATTCAAGTGAGTTTAAAACCACATTTTGCAATGAGGATCCCAGTTTGTTACCAACCATTACTAAGGTGAGGCTGAATATAAACATTCTTTAAACATAAAATCTGATGGGAGATAACAATTTCAGCAATTATATGTACTGAAAAGACTGTCAAAATGTCAATGCATTATTAGTTCCTCCTAAGTCCCTTACATAGGAGCTCTGGTGGTGTAGCACCTAAGGCATTTGACTGCTAACCAGAAGGCTGGCGGTTCAAACCCACCAGCCACTCCTCAGAAGGAAGATTGGGGCAGTCTACTTCTGTAGTGATACCGCCTTGGCAACCCAAGAAGGGGTCACTATGAGTCGGATCCAACTCAATGGCAATGAGTTTGATTTTGGGGTTTTAAGTCCCTTAAAAAGCTTGAGAATCCAAGAGTTACATGATTATTCTTTGGTAAGCAAGAGGAGAAATATAATGGCTACAATTTAGCTATTATTTTAATATCTATATTATCTGGGTAGTCTGCAAATTACCCCACCATATGATTTTACCCAGAAATTAAATGTCTAAAAATATGTATCCATTGTTATGCAGAGAAAAATGATACCACAAATAGAATCATCTCCAGCTATAATCTGGTAATTAGAACAAAGATTTTAATATGAAAAATCAAAGACTCACTTGGCAAGTGTGATTACGGATATAGTATTTTGTTGTTATTAAGTGAATCAGGAATAATCACCTAATTTACATACTGGATAGCAGCACATATGCCTTAATTTTTATTTGGTAATTCTACCAGCAAGCAATGATGAAGTAATAATATCCTCCATCATCTTAGTGCTTTATGTGCAGGGAAGATATGGTATTTCCTGGGCACAATACATTAGATAGACCTTATTATAATATATAAAGGATTAAAATGTCATATTGAAAGACCAAATGCCTGTTTCAATCTAGCACTTCTAACAAATGACCAGTCTTGTCAAAAATAAACTTCCTACCACAACTTATCACTTCTGCCAGTCAAACTCTCTCCATGTTAAAATAAAAAGTTATGAAGTCTGTTAATAGGAAATGCAGAAGTAGAAAAGGGGAGAATTAAAGAAATCAAAAAGAGCAATAGAGAGAAAAGAAAGAGAACAAGATGCTGAACAGAATGAGCAATTAGAATCCCTCTGCTATTAACATAAGCAATTAGAAATTAAACTAAGTGTATAATGCAGTTAATGAAGTATATGTTCTGGTGTTTAAAATGGCAATTTCCACTTATTATCACATTAAAACAAGAAAGAAAATAAGAAAACTAAGTCTAATTAAAAGATTTAAAGATACCAGTTTAGAAAATTATGTTTAGCAAAGCCTACATGCTCAGAAAAGTAGTCACTGAGACACTGACTGACCAGATGAGATGTTCTTCTGCCCTCCAGTTATCAAACTCCATTCTACTAAAATGCTTTGAAGTTCCTTACATCCTAACTCTCCACTTTTATCTCCTACATCCCCACATCCAGACTGTTCTGTGTTCAGGAACTTACTGAAGCAAGCCCATAAGGGAGTTCTCCTGGTCAGTAAGCCATGTTTCTCTCATTCTTTAATGGCAATTTCAAATAAGCCAGTCACACTGAATATAAAGTACACAAAAAAGATGACTTCAGACAAGAACTGAGTATGTAAGAAAGACAGAGCAGGGAGGAGGGCTTACTTGTCACTGTTTATACTTTGTATCTTTGGAATTCTATACTATACACATGTATTTAAAGTTTAAATAAATTTTAAATAGATTGAATTTGAGATTTTCTCCTAGAGAGCATTCTCCAAACAATATTTTAATATCACAAAAGAGCAAATCCAACCCTTATACTAACTACCTTGATTTAACCATGTATGCCTCCTTCACTTGAACCATCACTTTGAATATGAATTAAGATTACTACCTATGATGTTCTTCCCTTAAAAAAACTGGTATTTCTCTTAGGAAATAATGCCACAGAGAAAACAAGAGTCTCCTAAAGCCGGATTTATAAATAGGGGTTCTTTAAAGAGTGAGTTTTCTAAGTAATTACTTGATTTATAAAAAGCTGAATCCGAGGAAGTTGGGCAATCCTACTTCCGTAGTGATACTGCCTCGGAAACCCAAGGAGGGGTCGCTATGAGTCGGGGGCGACTCGACGGCAAATAACAACATACTACAAAGGAACACATGCATAATATTAAAAAAAAAAAAAAAGACATTTATTCATCTTGCCTCCCAATTACAGTAAGCTCTACTCTTCTCATATTGGTTCCACAATCAACACCAATAGAAGCAGCAGTCAAGAAATCACACTTACTTCACTGGGCAAATCTGCTCCAAAAGACCTCTTGGTCCTTTGGTATTTTCTATTGCCTCATATGCATGTGAAAGCTGGACAATGAATAAGGAAGACCAAAGAACAGTTGATGCTTTTGAGTTTTGGTGTTAGTGAAGAATACTGAAAGTACCATGAACTGCCAGAAGAATGAATAAATCTGTCCTGGAAGAAGTGCAGCCAGAATGCTCCTTGGAAGCGAGAATGGCTGGACTTCATCTCATCTACTTTGGTCACGTTGTCAGAAAGGACCATTCCCTGGAGAAGGATATCATGCTTGGTAAAGTGGAGGGTCAGCAAAAAAGGGGAAGGTCCTCAACAAGATGGACTGACACACTGGCTGCAATGATGGGCTCAGGTATAGTAAGGATTGTGAGGCTGGTGCAGGACTGGGCAGTGTTTTGTTCTGTTATACATAGGGTCAATGTGAGTCAGAGCCAACTTGACAGCATCTAACAACAACTCTTTGGGAAACTGCAACTAAACATTCCTCTGTAGATCTGATCACATATAGGTTTACTTTAGGGATATTTGTCAAATACAAACATATATAT